AAAAAAAAAAAAAAAAAAAAAAAAAAAAACCCACCTGGAAGCCCTGATGCTAAAGAAGCCCAGAAGAAAAACAGCCTCAAAGCTGAAGTCTCTTTGAATCAATAATTTCAGGAAAATTTAATATGATTCTATTCATTTCATAAACAAATTCATCCATCATAAGCCACACACACACACACACACACATTACTCTCACAAAAATCCTGAAAGGATACAGCTAATGCAGAAAAGGCCACTCCTATAGGAATGTGTATGGCCCCATCTCTGCTTGCCCACTCCAAACAGAAATGTGACCCAGCACCAACTCAGGTTCACAGAGGTTGCTTAGTGACAAAGATCATGGCCTGGCCACATCTGAAGCTGCCTTCTCTCACCAGGAAGAAAAGCAGCTCACAAAGAGATGGGTGACCGGGTGACCGGGGCCCAGAGGGACAGCACATAAGCAGCGTCCTCAGTCACTCATGGAAACCCTTAAGCGTTACTGGTGCCTGGAACCAAATATAATCCTCGGAGGCCAAGGCTGGGATGGAAGGTCTGCCGCAGGACAGGGTCACAGTGAGTTTGTGACCCCGGGTGGGCACCCGGTAGTTGAGCTTGGGTCGAAACCACTCCTCTCCACAGTCGCGGTGACCCTGGGCCATGACGATGGTGCCCATGAGCGGAGGAGCCTGTAGCTCACTGAAAGCATCTGCCAGGAAGATGGCTCGGAAGAGACGCCGCAGACACGTGGCTGTGCTCAGGCTCTGGTCCACGCTGAGGGGAGCCAGCCGGGACAGGTCAAGTTCATAGAACTCCTTGGGGCTTACGGCACTGCCCCCGAGGAGGATGAGCACTCGCGGTACCAGTGTCCGGGCAAAGAGGTCCCCGAGGTGGCTGAGGACGCTGTCCAGTTCCGCCAGGGCTTGCTGGCACTTCCTGCTGCTTGCCTCGCTAGCAGTCCAAGGTTTCTTCCTCACTGTGTCCTCTGCCTGTGAGAACAGAGCACATGGAGGGATCGACAAAGTACATGGGAATGCCTGCCCTTTACAGAGCTCCCGTGGGAGGTGTCATCAGACTCACAGACTGGATTTCTAGCTCAATGAACTGCCATAACCACACCATGAGACTTATCAGAGAACATCACCATATAAAGAAAAACACGGTCTTGGTACACAACCACGATTTTCCTACACTCACGTCAGCAAAGACAGTACTCTGAGGTAGCGGGTGTCCAGACAGAAGCACAGGAATGAGCAGCATGTGGTCTAATAAAGGTAATTCTGGAGCCCTCCAATCAAACACAGTAAGTTAAACACACGGGTTAGTAACATATGCTCCCAGTGAAACACTGAGAAAAAAACTAAGAAAGGAAGAGGACAGAAAGCAGAAGTGCTGAGAAAGACAAGAGCACTGGGGAACATGTCTCATTGGGCATGGCAGCAAGTTTTTATTTTTCGCTTTTGTTTTGTCTTTTTGAGACAGGGTTTCTCTATGCAGTTCAGGCTGGCTTTGAACTCACTTTGTAGCCCAGGGTGGCTTTAAACTGACAGCGCTCTACCTGTCTCATCCTCCTGAGTGCTGGCATTATAGGTGTGTGCTACCACGCCTGGCAAGGCAACAAGTTTTGAAAGACAGCCGCAAGGCATGGTGTTGCACACCTGTAATCCCAGCACTCCGAAAGCTGAGGCGGGAGGATTGCCATGGGTTAAAGGCCAGCCTGAGCTACATACATAATAAATTTAAAGACTGTATCATGAGAACTTAACTCAACAACAAGATAAAATAAAACATTGATAGATAGATAAACAGGGAGATAGTAGATGGAAAGGTTAAGAGTACAAGAGCCGAATACCAGCTACTAATAAAGGAATCTTCATAAGGACTGGCATGCTAGCACATGCCAGTAATCCCAACACTCAAGAGGCTGAGGCAAGAGGACTGCTGCAAATTTAAGGCCAGCCTGGCTACACAGCAAGGCCCTGTCTCAAACAAACAAGCGAGAAGCACATTCACACTGCAGAACCCCGACAAAGCCACAGCAGAAAGTATCAGTGAACACAAGGGACTGAACAAAAACTTGTATGAGCATGCTCGGACCAATGGCTAATGCTCTCCACACACAGATGTGCTGCCACTGCTTGTGGTGTTCCAGGGTTCCCACCCAGTCTCCTTATGATAAAGTCCAGCAGCCCATAAGGTCCAGACACACACACAGAGCTTACGAGGATTTATTCTGAAATGTCTGTTCACCAGATAAAAGCCTTCAACATGAAAGTCAGATTTCAAAGCAAATGGCAAAAGGATTCTGAAAGAAACAGATAACTGCAAACAACAGAGAAGAGCTTCAAAGCACAGCTGATAACTTAGACAAGTCGGTAGGATTGTGAAACAGGATGTTATTAAAAAGAACTATGAGAATATTAAGAAAGCGCTCTTAAGAATTTGACTTCCAAAAAAATAGAAGTGTTAGATAATATAAAGTCAAAAATTCCACTAAAAAAGGCCGGGTGTGGTGGTGCACATCTGTAATCTCAGCACTGGGGGGAAGGTGGGGGGCCAGGAGGATTGGTTTGAGTTTGAGACCAGTCAGAGCTACAAAGTAAGCTCAAGGCCAGCCTGAAGTGCATAGCAAGACCCTGTCTCAAAAGCACCAAGAAAAGAAAAACGAAAAATCCACTAAAATGTAGGGGCCAAGGCATGAGGTCTCATTTCAAGGCCAGCCTGGGCTACAGAGCCAGATCCTGTCTCAAAACACAAAACAACCTGGCATGGCAGTGCGCACCTCTGATCCCATCACCCTGGGGAGGCTGACACAGGAGGATCATAAGTTTGGGATTTAGTGAGAGCCCGCTTCAAAAACTTAAAAAGGGGGGGGGGGGCTGGAAAACACCTCAGTGAGAAGGCCCTGGTTTCAATCCTGAATTTGGGGATGGGGTGGGGAGAAAGAGGTGAAAATCGGAAAGAAAACAAACCAAACTTTAGAGAGCCAGTTCAAAGCTGGGGAGAGGCAGGGGCAAGAAGCTCTGCAGAGCCTATGCTTAGGGTGTGTAAAGCCCTAGGTTCAGGCCAGGTGTAGTGGGGCATGCCTGTAATTTCAGCACTTGGGAGACTGAAACAGGAGGATTGCCATGAGTGTGAGACCAGCCTAGGCAATAGTGAGTTCAAGGCCAGCCTGAACCACACATCAAGACCCTGGTTCAAAACAAAACAAACAAAAAAACAAAAGCCCGAGGCTCACCACCCCCCAACATTTAAGAGTTCATGAAGTCCAAATGCAACACACACGACAGGAGAGGAAAGTTAGGGAACAACAACAACAAAAAAAAAACAACCATTGCAGCTTTTCAGCTGCCATCCCCAACACAAGCCCTGAAGTTTCTCAGACCCCTTTCCTCCCTGCCTGCCATCTAAGGCCTCTAGGGACCTCCCACCCGTTCTTGCCGCAAACCTGGGGAGATGTTCTGCGATAGAAGTGCTTGAGCTGTTCGTAGGGCAGAGGCAGTTGCTGGCGTTGGTACATGATGTGCTTTAGAAGTTCACACGTAAAGCGGCAGCAGCCTTCCTGGCTCACAGGCCCCGGAAACACCACGGGGACCAAGCAGTCTCTCGGACAAAAGGCTTCTGAAGGGTTGGGAGGTTCCGGGGCAGACTGAGTCTCAAGCAGTTCTATCTGGGGGTCAGGAGCTTCTTCCGATTTGTCATACCATTCCAAATCTAATGCAAGAACAGAAAGATAAAAATGCGAAAAAGGCAAGTGTTGCAGGTCAGTGGGAGTCTTCCCATTTCCTGAGGTCCCCACGTCAGTCTCCTCGGCGAAGGGGGTACCCTGACAGCCGCAAGGAGACCTCGCCACCTGCCCAGGTTGTCTACGTGACGGGACGCAGGGGAAGCTCGGGGACAGGGGCTCCTTTCAGCCAGCGGCAGGCCTCGGCTGGAAAATGAGTACGAAGTGCAGTCACCTCGGGTCCAGAACGCCGAAACCGAGACAGCGCACCCCAGAGTGAAGGGACCGGGGCAGAACTAGGCGGGGCGGGACGCGCGGCCGCGGACAGTCCGCACGGACCGGAGAAAGGCCAGACAAACGACTGGGGGTGGAGGCAGGAAAGAAACAGGTACCCACGGCTCCCCAAGCTCCAGACGCCATGCCTTACCAGGGACAGAGGCTGGGGGAAACACTTCCGGCTCCAAAGCCGCCATCACGACCTCCTCCTTCCGCAGGGAGCGGTTGGAACCCCCGCCCGAGCCGCGTCACAGGAAGGCCACGCCCACTTCCGGCTCGGTCCAGGAACTGGGGGCGTGGCGTCGGGATGGGTGGGGCTGAGGGGTAAATTTGCCTCGGCGGGTTTGGCTGCCGCTTGCACTCGCCAGCACCAGGGAACCCAGGGGCTCGGGGAAGACCTTCTCCGTCTGCATCCTGCATTAGTTCTTGGCAGCTCACTTACTGTGCCCGGTCCTGTCCTTGGTGCTGGAGACCGTAAAACAAGCCCTATCAGAGCCTTATCAATGATGTTAATTCCTGTAAGGAAATGGGAACGCCCCCCCACGCCCACACCAATTCTGGGGATTGAACACAGGGCCTTTGCACAGACCTGTAGCCCCAGCCCTTTTGTTTTGGTAGTTTTTTTGTGTATGCTGAGACAGGGTCTGGCCGTGTAGTGCAAGCTGGACTTGTACTTGCTTATGTAGCCCAGGCGGGCCTCAAACCAGGCCACGCTCTTGCCTCAGCCTCCCGAGTGCTGGGATTACAAATTGCACCTCATTTGCTTTGTATTGTTGACGTTTGTTTGTTTGGGGGGGTCTTTTTTTTTATGATACTAGGGATTGAACTCTGGACCCTGCGCTTGCCAGGCAAGAGCTAATTCTACTGAGCTATTTCTCCCCGGCCCCAGGGGTCTTATTTTTGGTACTGGGAATCAAACTCCAGATCTCATGCCTGCCAGGAAAATGCTGTGCTGCTGAGCAGCTAAATCCTCAGCCTTCTGACTGGGTCTTGTTAAATTGATCTAGGCTGTTTGAACTTGTAGTCCCCCTGCCTCTGCCTCCCAAGTAGCTCGAATTACAGGCCTATATCAGCATGTCCAGCTGAGTTTTGTTTTTTCTTTGCTTGGACTATTTTCTTTTTGCAGTGCTGGTGACCAAACCTAGGGCCTTGGGTATGTTAGACAAATGCTCTAGATCCCTAGCTCAGTACCACAGCATTTTAATTATTTTACTTTTATAGTACTGTATGTTTTGTTCTCTGGTCTCTACTTCCTGAAAGTAGAGACCAGAGAACACAGAATCTCAGCATATTCTCATTTTGTATACCCTTCCAGAATGAGTTTATTCACTCCCTCAGATACCTATTTCAAGTGTGTTCCTAAATATACTTTTTGCTCTCTAGTGGAGACATCAAATTCTATGAAAAAACGAACTCACCTGTTCTTACTCAGTTTCAAATAAGCCTACTCTTCTTAGCTGGGCCGCCGGCACATACCTGTAATCCCAGCATCCTTGGAGGCTGAGGCAGGAAGATCACAAAGTCAAGCCCAGCCTAAAATTCAGTGGGACCCTAACTAAAAATAAAAAGAAGACTGAGCATGTAGTTTTGTATGAGATCCCAAGTTCAATCCCCAGTACTGCAAACACACACACAAAAAACCTAACAAAACCAACTCCTCGGGGCTGGTGAGATGGCTCAGTGGTCTAAAGCACCTACTTAGAACAAACTAAAAGCACAGCAACCAAGCACAGGGACCATGGTTCAATCCCTCAGCACCACATGCCAGCCAGTGCCGCCCCCTGGTGGGCTGAGCTGCCCCCACACACAAATAAATAAAATTTAAAAAAAAAATACTCATTAAAAAAAAAAACCAACTCCTCTTCTAGTGTTCCCTTCATTGAATAGCACAGCTAGCCATACAATTGCTGAAGCCAGAAACCTGCTTGTCTTTGCAGTCTTTCTGCCCTGCCTCCTCGATTTATCACCAAATTATGCTAATAGACTTTAAATACTGTATCTCTAGAGTCTACCCAATATTATCCAGCCACTATAACTACCCTACTTCAGGCCTCTTTCAGCATACTGGGTAATTTCTGTTACTACCTGCAAACTATCTCTCTGCCTCTCTCTCTGTCTTTAGACAGAGAACTCATGGTAATCCCCCTGCCTCAGCAAGGGTTGGGATTACAAGTGGGGGCTACTATGTCCTGCTCACTTGGGAACCTAAGGCAGGAGGATCACCATGATTCTGAGCCTAGCTTGGGCTGCATAGTGACTTCAAGGCCAGTCTAAACTAGGTAGCAAGACACTGTCTCAAAAAAAAAAAAAAAAAAAAAAAAAAAAAAA